ATCCCCAGAGCTGGGAGTGTGCTCCTTCATCCCCAGTGCTGGGAAGGCAGAGACAGGAGGATCTCCAAGACAGCTAAGTTTTGGAGCTCTAAGTTCAGTGAGAGACTCTATATCAAAAAATAAAGTGGAGAATAATTGAAGAAGACTCCCAAGGTCAACCTCTGGCACAGGCAGACAGACAGACAGACAGACAGACAGACAGACAGACAGACGCACACACACACACACATACACTTCTTCACTCACCCCTTCCCCCCCACACTCACACATATACACACTTCTTCACTCACTCCCTTCCCGTGAGCACGTGCACGCACGTGGGCACGCGCACACACACACACGCATCTTAGCTGACATTTTTCTGATGTGAACTTACGGTGTAAAGAACTTCACTATTTCAGAGTCTTCTCTTTAGAAGTTCAAGATTACAGATGCAAGTCTTCTTTGAAGTCAATCGTGCAACGTGCCATTATACCCCCTTGGTGGAGGAAAAAAGAAATGGAGTTTCCTCCTCTTCGCCAAATATTCTGTTAGGCAGCAGTAAACAAAACTTAACTCTGCTTTGTGCGAACTTTTTACTTCTTCCCAGAGTAGAGTCCAAGGTCTCCCCAGGCATTGCTGAGCAATACCAGGGGGCACCAATCACACACTGATATGTGCAGATCTCAGGCCTCACCCCGTGTGGGCTGCCATCACTGAGCCAGGGCCACATGTGCTCTTCCCAGAGACTAGTAAAGCATGTGCTGTCTACATAGTCCCTTGAGGACATGAAAACCGAGAAAGCTGAAGTAATGGTGTGCTCACAGCCATGTACTCAGTGAGAACCAGACTTCCCTGATACTATATTGATTTATTGGGGGTTTTTTGGTCACTATTACTACCTTTTCTGTTTTAAACAGGCTTTCATATGTCCCTTGCTCTTCTTGAACTTGCCGTGTAGTAGAGGACAACTTTGAATCTTTGGATTCTTCTGCCTGTCTTCAAGTGCTGGGTTTACAGGTATCTACCACTATGGCTAGTTTATGTGGTTCTGAGGATTAAACCTGGGCCATTGTGCATAGTGGGACATTGAGCGTAGTAGGCACACACTCCACCAACTCAGCTACACCTCCAGCCCCCAGACTTTCAGACTTTTAGGCCTTTCTGCACATTTAGCCCTTCGTTCAGTGACAACATTACTGTCTTAACCATGGATTACAAATTCTTCAAATAGAGTAAGATTAGAGAACTAAACAGCACAGAGCTAACCATGGCAGTTCATGGAGGATTGCCATCAGCCTGGGCTACAGGGCAAAGCTCTGTTTTGAGAAAAAAAGAAGTGTGTGTGTAGGGGGGGCCCAGACAGTGTAGTGCACACATTTAATACCAGCACTCGGGAGGGGTGTCTTTGAGTTCAAGGCCAAGCTGCTCTATAGCAGGAGTTCCAGGTTAGCCAGGGCAACATAAAAGAAACCCTGTGTAGAAAAACCAGAAGAAAAGGAGGAGGAGAGAGAACAAGAGAGCCAGGAAGTGGTGGTGCACACCTTTAATCCCAGCACTTGGGAGGTGGAGGCAGGCAGATCTCTATGAGTTTGAGGCCAGTCTGGTCTATAGAGTTAGTTCCAGGATACCTAGGGCTGTTCCACAGAGAAACCCTGTCTCAAAAGAGAGAAAGAGAGAGAGAGAGAGAACAAGATAGAGACCTATTTGTCTTCTATTTTTCCTTCTATCAGGAAGCCTTACTGAGAGCTTCTGGGAATTGACACCTCCACAAAGATTAGCTGTCAGGAGTCTTTCTCTGTCCCATAGCCAATTCCCAAATAATTACATGGAGACATATTGATTATGAAAACTCAGCCTTTAGCTTAGACTTCCATCAGCTAGCTTTTATAACTCATTCTAACCTATTTACATTAATCTATGTTCCTCCGTGTAGAATTATCTCTCTTCCATCTTGTACCTCCTGTTCCCTCCGAATCGGGCTAGTGTCGCCACCTTTCTTCTTCCCAGAATCCTCTCTGTGCCTGGAAGTCCCTCCTATATCTCCTGCCTACCTAGCTATTGGCCATTCAGCTTTTTATCACACCAATCAAAGTAATACACTTTCACAGTGTACAAATATCCCACAACAATTAACTGCTTCCCCACTGAGGTGCTGGCAAAACACCTCCCTCCTGACATAATGTAGACAACCGAAGGGAATTAGAGATGGATGTCTACCCCTCCCATGTCCACCTCCCTGATTCTCCTTCTTTCGCATTGGGTACTCTGTTCGGTGATGGCACAGTGAGATGGAACTGTGGGGGTTTTCTCATTATTCTGTAAGAAAGTGGCAGTCCCTGCTGTGCTGTGCCGAGTAACTAAGGGAATAACACGAGAGAAAAGTCCCGAGGCTGGGAAGCGTGGAATATGATACAGGTAGCGTGGAATATGGTACAGGTGTGCACATGCAGGCACAGTGGATTCGGGGTGGAGTTGGGATGTGCAGAAGTACGGCAGCTGAAGAGCAGATGTCACGTGCCTGTATCCCGACGCTCAGAACACTGCAGCAGGAGAATTACAAGTTTGAGGTCAGCCAGGGCTACATAGTGAGATACAGGGACCTCCTTCGTGCTCTCTGAGATCTGGAAACTCTGAGTTGGAGAAGAATCGGCTCTCTTCTACCGGAAGCGGTGAGCCTGTCAGCCGGGTCTTCCAACTGTCACCCTTATTTTGGTTCTTTCTCTGTACTAGAGGTTGAACCCAGGACCTCACAGATGCCGGGCATGTGCTGTGCGTACTCCACCTCCTTCTTGATTTTCCCACAGTCCTGTTCCCCAAAAGTTCAAGAAGTTGTGGACAACGAAAACTCAGATCGTTACATGAAGAAGCTGAAAAAGAAACATGCCGTAGTCAGGACTTTGCTTTTAGTGTGTCAGTTGTTTTTCTTGTTGATACGACAAGAAACGACCGTGGAGAAAAAAGCACTGGCTTGACTTCCAGGAAGTTTGAGGGGATGTGGTCCATTGTGACAAGTAAGGCGTGACGGCCGGTGTCCCAAGTGTTTGGTCACGTTGGGTCTGTAGATGGGAGTCAGAGAGCAGGCAGGAAGTGAGCCCACTCCAGCGACCCACTTTCACTAGAGAGACTACAGTTCCTAAAGATTCTACCACCTTCCAAAGCAGTGCCACCCACTGGGGACCGACGGCGAAAACACACGAGCTATGGAGGGCCTTTCACAGTCAAACCCCAGCACCTAGATGGGTCCTAGGTAAAGAAGCTGGACTGTTCTGTGGACCCTGGAGTTTATGCGCTAGGACTGGGGAGCACAAGAGAGACACCTGTCTGAGCCTTGATGCTCTGTGTACACAGGATGGTGGGGAAAAGAAGAGGTAGCAGCTTCGGAACACAGTGTCTGGGAATGCCCGGGACCGACTCGTGGAGCCAAGGGCATCATTTCCTCAGCCTCACATCACCCCTAGAAGGAGCCAACATCTTCTGGAAACTGCACTGCCTCGGCCCAGAGGGACGTCTCAGCAATAGTCCAGTCTGTTCGGGAGCAAAGGAAGCTGGGCTCCTAGACACCGATGGACAATGATCCTTGACTGAAGAATGGGTGAGGCTGGGGAATGGCAAAATACTCCATCTATAGTGCAAACTACGAAATTGCTTTGTAAAATGCCCCAAGGATGATTGGGTAACATTTAAAATAGCATGGGGAAAAAAATCTTTTCTGGTTGTTACCTGACACGTTTTGGGCAAGATTAAAAGCATAGGCTATTCTGTTTTATTTCCAGAAGGGGCTATCAAGCCTTAGATCTATGTGGTCCAAAGACTACAGATATAAGAGAAGTCTCTCTCCCCCTCCCCCAGCTACTTGCTCCTGGCTGTGGAAGTCGTGTGAAGAGTGATCTCCTGCTCCCATGCCTTGCATCCTTGATGGGTTGCATCTCCCCACACTCTAAGCCCTGATAAACCCCCTTTCCCTAAGTTGCTTCTCATCAGGTATTCGATAACAAGTCACAAGGAAAATAATCAATTCATGACAGAAAGACTTAATGCAGAGATGGATCCTTCAAGTCCACTGAGCAAATTAGCATGGGAGGAAGCAGTCTGGGGGGCCCGGTTCCGGTAGCCTGTTGCACAGAGAGCATCCGCCTACCAGGGTGTCCCTCCTTTTGTCATTGTGGAATGAAGTTGCCATCTACAAGTTCACTCTTCAAAACTATACATCTGAGCTACAGATCAACCACTCCTGCCCTAAAATGTTTTAAGTGAGTTTAAAACAGCATTCACGGTGCTCTTTGCCTGCACATGGCCCTGACTCACAGGCTAGACACGCCTACATTCACTGTCAGCCCTCTGGATGGATATTGCCGTATCAGGCTGGGCCCATGATATGTGGAAGAGAACTCCCGAGAACGAGACACTGCATAGTCCAAGGAAGGCAGGGCTGAGTCTGAGAAGACAGTGAGCATTTAAAACCTACCCTTTCCCCATTCTCCGAGAGAGAAAGAAGGGCATAGAATGAATAGAACAAGATCAGTTCTCTTTTCTAGCCTACAGTTTTCTTCTCGCTTCCAATGGGAGACGCGCTTATTGAACATCTATGCTCCAATGCTGTGAGATCTTGCTAAAGAAAGAAGTATGGAAAGGCAGGGGTCCTTTTGTGATGGGAGTTCTAACGGGAAGAGAAAAGCACAGAGCTCAAGACCCTGTTGCATAGGGCCCACCTAGTCAATAAGAAGGCGGTACCTGGGTGCCTCCCGTGAGGAGAACGTGGTTCTTCAGAAAGGACCAGAAGGACGTGTGAAGAAAGTCGTGCTCTGAACTGGCTTTGAGACACAATGGTGCCCAACTAGTGGGGGGAGGCTGAGGCTTGGGTATGCCATGCCTGGAAGTCCGAACAGCTTGGAGGCTTTGGGAAAGAAAGTTAAGGGGTATGACTGAGAAACAGCTCTAGAGGAGCAAGACTCTACAACAATCATCTTTTCTGCCGTCGCTGCCAAGTCTGTCCCCTGTGTAGGTGGCCTCTGCTCCCGTATTAGGGAGGATACAGGTGAGGTGACACCAGGACTTTCTGAGTCCTCACCTTTTTTTTTTTTCTCTTTTCCCGTTACTCTGGTTCCTGTCTCCTTCTTCTTCCAAGTGTTGCCAGAAGCAAACTTGGCCTTCTGCACTGGGAAGGGGTCTCTGTATTCTGCTTTGAAGAGTATAGTAGTTTTTAAACACACACGAGCAATTTTCATTACTACTAAGTTCTGAGCACTTCATGTAATGTGTGCTTTGAAAGTGTCTCAAGCTGAGCATGAGGGTCCATGGCTATGGTCCTAGAGCCTGGGAGTCTGAGGCCAGCCTTGGGTGCATAGCGAGTCCCAGGTCATCCCACACCATAGGTTGAGACCCTGTCTTAAAAGCCCTACATATTCAGAAAATTAACATTTTTCCTTCTGTTTCTCAGTAGCATAGCTAAATTAGCTGAGTGTATTTTGGTGCTAAGCGCCCCCCCGCCCCCAGGATTGACAAGCTATTTAACAGTCCTTCCTCAGGACTATGTTTGGACAAAGGACACATTTGACTATTATAAAATGTTAAAGTGATTTTCTGACTTATACAATTTAATGATATATGTAGGTGTATATATGCATCAAATATAATGTATAGTAATTATATATATATACTATATTTAATTATATATAAAATTCCATTTTCTACCCTATATATGGATTTCATATATAGTATATCTAACCCTTATATGTAGATAATATTTATAATGCATAATATATAATTATATATGCCTTATTCCATACATATAGACATATATGCATAGATATACATGTTGGAGGAGGCCACTTATTGGTTCCTGGCTGCTTATCCCCAAAATAATCACACAGAAACTGTATTAATCAAATCACTACTCGGCACATTAGTTCTGGCTAATAATAATAATTAGTTATTGGCTAACTCATACATATTAACTTAACCCATTTCTAGTAATTTGTGTATGGCCATGTGGCTGTGGCTTACTGGCTAAAGTTCTGGCGTCAGTCTCCGGCAGGGCTACATGGCTTCTCTCTGACTCTGCCTCCTTTCTCCCAGCATTCTGCTTAGTTTTCCCTGCCTACCTAAGTTCTGCCCTATCAACAGGCCAAGGCAGTTTCTTTACTTATTAATGGTAATCACAGCATACAGAGGGAACTCCCACATCACACACACACACACACACACACACACACACACACACACACACACAC